GAGCGGTCCGATCGTGATGGCCGACAGCAGGGTAGCGGCCACGGGCGTGAAGCGGGGGCGATTCGGCTCTTGTCCCAGGAACAGAATCCCCTCCCCGCTGCCTTCCACCGTGGCGCATCGCTGGCAGGGGTGCAGGTTTATCCCCAGCTTCTCCAGGAGGTCTGTACCTGCGATACACTCATGGCACAACACACTCGAGACATAGAATTTCTGGGTGCACACCTGGTGTCCAAGACGGACCTCGAGGGAGACTCTTCCCAGCAACCCCATCCCGGCTCCACTCGCCATGTGCAGCGCACGATCCGGGGCCTGCAGATGGCCCACGTCAACCCCGAGCACGTTGCAGTGTGTGGCACTCACGAGTGAGGCCACCGCTCCCGTGTCCAGTAAAATCCGGGTACACCATCCGTTTACTTGTCCCTCCACCAGCGACATTGCTCCCGTGATTCCCGCCACTAACTCCCGTAGCCAGTTTCCAGGAGTCACCTCGTTCTTAGGCGCTGTTGCTGGAATCTGTGTGGAGGTCACTCGCTCACCATTATTATCATCTTTCTGTATTGGGACCGCGTTGATTGCACCCCTAGTTGGTCCACTCTCTAGGGGGCGTTGGAGTTTAACCCCGACGCATGTCTAGCGCGGGCGACCTGAGGACAGTACCTCATGAGGTGCCCTCGGCGGTCGCACAGGTAACATGCCCGAGGGGCGGCCCCGTAGGAGGCCCCCTGTCCATCCCTTCTCCTTCCCCCGATACGTGTCTGTCCAAGCTCGGCCTCCAATCGGGACACTCGTCCAGTTAGTCCCCCTACCGTGGAGCGCAGTTCTCCCATTTCGGACTGAATGGTCTCCACTGTGGACTGTAGTTTGGTCATGTTCCGGCTCGCTTCCTCACGTACGTGCGTCACCCTGTCACCTACTTGGGTCACCTGGCCGGCTATATCCCTTATGCCTGTCTGTATCCCCCCTACCCATCCCGGGGTTGTCTTGCGGGGTCCCGGTTGCTCCCTTGCCCGACCCCTTACCGTACTGGCGAGCCGCTCCTCCTCTGGGAGCAGGCTCGCGATGGCGCGTTCTCATCCCAGCCCCCTAAGCTGCGTGCGCTCACTGGTAAGCTCCTCGCACTCAAGTGCGCGCTCGACGAGGGTATTAAAGGGGAGGCTTGCACTACCCACTTTTGGGTGCCACCACGTGGTGCAGGCTAAATACCGGAGGATTTTGTCGGCGGCCAGCTCGTCAATTATCTCTGTCGCTAACTATGGACAGGCGATCCGTTTTAGCGATCACACGTCTTCGGCGTAATCGCAAAAGTCCTCGCCGGGTTGGCGGCGGCGCGCCTCTAAGGCTGTCTTTGCCTGTCTCACATTACACGTGCCGAAGCGTAGGTCGAGTTGGTGCATCAACTCTTCTAACTGGGTTTGGGTGTTTGCGGGTAGCGCCTCCACAAAATCAGCTGCCCGCTCGTCAAGATTAATAGTAAGTTGTCGTAACGCCTGTGCGTCTGTCCAACCATTAAGCTCTTTAGCCCCTATGATATTGCGGGCAAATGCTTTCCATGAAGGGGTCCCCGTGCCTGTAAACACATACCTTATTTTCGTGTGGAGTACCGCGTCTCTCTCCCGTGGAGATGTGGGGGTTCGTCCCACTTCTGACGCCAAATTGTCGGGGAGGCTGCTCCCCGTCTCCCCGCTCACCTGTGACCCACCGCTTTCCGACTCTCCCCCCCTCGCTGCTGCCCCTCGTGGCATGATTTAAATGGCTGTACGAACCACCTTGCGAATACGCCGCTGTGCCCCTCTCGTACACGCCAACCACGAGCTGCGCAGTGGCGAGAGTACTCATGCGGGTAGAATATACACTCGTGCGAAAATACTGGACACCACAATACGCAGGCTCAACACCATGCACCCCTCTCCGTATTCGCAGAGACAACACGACAAAGTTTAATGTCTACTGGCGATTTATTCTCCGCTTAATGAAGTTAATCTACCCGTGTCAGTGTGGGTCAGCAGGGCAGGTCTAACCTATCTCCCGGCGGTCTAGGACCCAATTTGCCTGGTCTCTCCCTACTCCCTACCCACGCGCTGCTAACCCGCTGGCCCCTCTTCCAATCCGGAGCCTCGGATTTCCCGCTCTTGGCCAATCGGATTAGCCTCCGTGAAGCTTCGTCCCATAAGGGGGCTTCTGGGTGAAAATCTGGTGACCTCCCATCGGGGCTCTATGTGGAGGGGGGGGGGGTGTGTGTGTGTGTTCATGTGGGGGGTGGTGGGGGAAGCACTGTGACGGAAGCCGGGTGGCTTCGTTGCTGCAGCCCCCCCGCCGCAAATACGGCTCCCACGGAGTGGCTTTGCTGTTGTGGCACCACAATGCATCGTATTTGAAACTGATTGGTCCACACCTGAGACAGCTTTCTTTAGAGCCTAGTCTCAAACAGTGTTAGACCAGAGGACGCCAAAAGGCGAACAGCACAAAGATAATGCCACTATTAGGACATTGAGAGATCGGGGTGAGCTACACTTACTACCATTGCATGTTTGTTTGTTTGCATGTTCACAACAAGTATATGTGGCTACTGCAGGCACGATTCCTTGCAAAGGCCTCTGTTTGGTGTTCCGACATCCCAACACAACGGTTTTATTTCCAGAAAGGATAAAACCTATTCCTATATTTTGATACTGGCAATAAAGGTCCCACAAGGATCCTTATTACACACGCGAGTCAATGCATGCATCCCGCAATCCATCATCTGTATGCCCCTGTCGCAGACACACCACTCTTCCGTATTGCAGGTAGATAGACAATTAGTTCATTAAGTCGATTCATTTGCACAAAGTTATGCTCGATCAATTGTTGTGGTCAATGACTCTGGTCCCTTTAAAAATGGCTACTGCATCGACATGCGGGAAACCCCCACACCCCCCCCCCCCCCCCCCCCCGGTCAGCCACACGCGTGAACGAGACCACACAACTCCCAATGACACCAATCCATTCCACTGGCTCCCGATCCATTGCCAGATCCTGTGCACCACACTTTATTTTCCACCTACACGCAACATCCCCCCCACCCCTCTCACACCCCCCCCCCCCCCCGCCCAAAAGTCGACCGGTCTTCAATCAAGTTAGGCGCCACAATGGCTAAGAGATGTTAACTACCTCGCCTGGTATGCAGTAGGTCGTGGGTTCGATCCCGACCCTGACACCTGCGATTATTTGTTTGCTGGTGACTGTGTATTTCGTATCGGAATCGCCTCCAGTGCTGTTGCTACTGGCGGCAATAAAAGTTATTTAAAAGTCAAAAGTCTATCATCATCATAATCATCACGGTGGCTAGGAGATGTTAACTACTTCGCCTGGTACACAGGAGGTCGTGGGTTCGATCCCGACCCTGACGCCTGCTGCTGTATATTTGGAGTTTGCTTGTCTCTCTCTCTGTGGTCGTGTGGGGTCCTCCGGTTTTTCCCTCCTGCTATAAATTGCCACGTGATGATAAACCACTTCATTGAGCTATCACTTGTGGCCAGGTCGCTTCTGAAAAAAAAGAGCTACATAGCTCAGTGGGCCTTACCTGATAAAATAAAATGTAAAAAAAAAAGATGTATAGTTCTGTACAACGGCGACTCTCAGTCCATAAACTTGCAGATGAACAACCGCTCTCCTGGGTACGAGGTGTGGTTATCCAAGCTGCTGGGTTTTTTTCTCTGTTGCGGCAATGCTCGTCCTATAATCATTCCGGAGCATGTCACAATCGGCAGATCCTCCCGCCAGCACCTGGTGGAACGCCTCGCGCAGTCCTCTCCGCTCTTGCATCGCAATAATCTCTCTCTTCGTAGATGGTGGTGGTGGCCCTTCGTGCTCCCAACAGCCAGCCGTGCGTATCTCTCTCTCCCTGCGTTACGTCTCTCCCCGTGTGTCACTCTCTCTCTCTCTCGCTTGCCCCTCTCCCCGTCTCCGCTGTCGGCGTCTTCAAAGGGCCAGCGGCTCCGGCTGCTGCTGCTGCCGCGGCCCAGAGGCCACCTCGGTCACGAGGAGGCCCCTGGCGCGAGTCGCTCACAGGCGATGCCCCGGGGGAGTGACAGAGCAGGGGCGGGGGAGGTGCAGCTGTTTCTGGGCACAAGCGAGAGATGGTGGTGCCCTTCCAATTTGGTGGTGGTGCCGATGCCCCCCGCCCCCCAAGGTGTATGACTACACGGGCAGGTTGAGTATTAATGTGTGGAGCGCGGGCGATGTTTTTGTTCCCCCAAACAAATGGCTCACGATCCCTCTGTGATTGATTAAAGGAGTGGAAAATCGACAGCGGTTTGCCTTGTGGGGTAGGTTACCAGCCGTGCAAGTCGAGTGGCGATTGTGTGGTGGCTATAGGGGTAGGTTACCAACCGTGCAAGTCGAGTGGCGATTGTGTGGTGGCTATTCACCTCTTGGCTGTGTTGTTGTTATGTTCACCTGGTTATGTATGCATACACTCTCTAAGCTCTTAAGTGCAGATACGTCCATGCAGATAAACGTTTGTGTGTACACGTGTGTGTACACGTGTGTGTATATGCGTATGTGTGTACACGTGTGCATGTGTGTACACGTGTGTATGTGTGTGTATGTGTAATGCGTGTCCACTGTGTCTCACGCTTCTGGCCCATTGATCTTCAGCGACCGAGATGGCGGCGGGTTCGTCGGCGTGACCTCGCGTTGTCACCCTTCACGAGTAACTCTTCCGCGGTGTATTCTTTGCTTCAACTCTCCCGTCAATTTATTTGGCCAATTTGCAGCGCGCCCGCGCCTCCGCTCTCCCACGCGCCCGCCACCGCACTCAGGAAGAAGACGAGGGCGGTGGTGGTGGTGTTGATGTTCATGAGCCGCAACGGCGTCCGTTTATTGCCACAACCACCAACAGCGCCCAGCAACGTGATCACGCCGCCTCGCAAGACGCAAGCGCTCGACCACCTCCTCCTCCTCCTCCTCCTTAAACCGCTCCCTCTCAGCTGTTGAGTCCATTCGCTCTCCTCTAGGCATCCCCGCTGGAAGGGCACTGGGTTTAAAGTCACTGCCCCAATCCACCCTCCCTCCCTGAGACAAATCGCGAACAGGAAAACGGGGGGCGACGACCTACCAAGTGCTGCCCGAACGCCCTCGGCAAATCGCGACATCGGCGGTGTCCACGCGCCGCGTGCAAGTCCAGGCGCGGCGTCGTTCGAGGGCGCGCCACGGACACGCGCGCGATTTTTTCACGAACATAATCACCACACCTTCTTGCATACCCATACCGTGTCAATCCGTACGGTTTACCTCGTATTCTTCTGCAGGGAAATTGCATTTTCAGGTTCAGACGGCGGACAGCCGTTTAAATATGAGCAAAATTGCGTGTTTTTTATGTTTGTTTGTGTTTCTCCCTTGCGATGGGACTTTGAAGGATGAACGTTGAGATTTATAAGGGCACGGGGTGACTAATAAGGTCTGAATTGGTCTGTAATAAGGTAGGCACTGATAAGAGTTTGACAGGCATGCATGTGGAGCGAGTGATAGTATAAGCGCAATGTGCTCAGAACACGGCGACCAGATATTGATTTCTGGCCACTGCTAACAGTGATGAGTGATATTATAACTGGCTTAGGCACCCCTTATGTCAAATCAACAATATAAACAAGCTCATGGTCTCATGCTCCGCACGTAATTCGCAATCTCCTCTCCATACCAAAAGGACCAGGAACTTCCCTACCAGGCGTGGTTTCTCCACGGTCGCCCCCCGTTCTGACTGGAACGTACCTCGCAGCATTCAATCGACAGGAGGCCCCACCTCTTTCGCCTGGCTTTCAAGTGGCACTGAGCCCCGCGGACTTACGGTCATTGAAGTCCGCAGAATATCGCGTGCGTTATAAATGGTATTGTTCAACGTGCACCAGAGGGCGTGTTCGGATTGTATCCAGCTCCGCATGGGACATAGCCAGTGGAAAAGCAACCATGCCACGAGGACCCCGCGTTGGCTCGACTCAGATGTGCCACCCTTTGTCCTACCTTAGATTGGCAGCCGGTTTCAGTGTGAATTGGCATTCATCCATCTCATGCCTTCCAGCAAATTGAACAGAGCAATATATTTCTGTTTCGGTAGAACGAATGGAAAAAAATGGAAATCACTCATCATTCCTGCGTGGACCTGAAAACTTGTGAAGAAACGTGAATACAATGTAACATTTTTTGACGTTAAAATATTTGGAATTTCAAACAACAACAACACGAAATCACGCATGCTGACCAGATATTTGTAGCAGATAAAACAGTTCACCAGGCTCAACACGGCCAGAGGAAGCCCCATGCCTACAGCAGCAGCGGTGAGCATGTAATTGTACAAATGCACAGGAGGTCACTTTCCCACCCACTCTGCCACTGAGAGTAGTACTGTTGGTCACTTGACATTCAAATTTACGTTTGTCATTTTCTGAGCTGGAATGTTTTTCCACATTCAGTGCAGGAACCAAATTGAATGTGAAGTCTACTTCTCGTGTAGACATTGGTATACCAGGCTGAGACCGCTACGCTTGAAAATCCCGTTTAATCACAAGCGGATGCCTGAATTATTAACCCTTGGCTTTCAGAGGTACTTTGCTTAGCTTCACGCTCTGATCACAGCCACCCAGGCACCTCAAGGCATCAGCATTAAGAGACCATCATCCAGCAGTGGATAACAACTGATGCCTCTGATTAGCACGGTTGGCTATGTACAGTGCGAAAGAAGTTCAACTTACATACAATGATGAAACATTATTCTACGTACACATTAATTCGGTACAAATGTACACGAATGAAAGTATTTAATTACCATTGGAAGTGGGACACAAACACAAAAAAAACTCCCTATTTTTCCAAAAAATGCTCCTTTTATTTAAATAATCAGGCAGAGAGGCTGATTAGCTGTTCCACAAACATTAACGACGACGCAATACATTTTACTTCGTTATGAGCAGGGTTTAATATCTCACTCAATATGTTCTGTGTCACTGGTAGACTGGATGCTCCCGTGTGACACAATGGGATATGGTGTGCCGGACATCAGAATAATTTTTAGGGAAGTTGACCTGAACCTCGGGCTTAAGTTAAGCCCAGGTTTAAAGTCAATGATGATGGTGGTGCAGGTGGTGTAAACAGGAGATTAGCACTGCCTCAAAGCTCATTTGAGCAGAACATCACTTTGACTGACGCGTCTACGTGAGCGACATTTTACCCCGCTTACGACGTTGCTCTGCGCTGCGTGCCATCGCACGGACCGTTCAGGAAGGAGCGTTCAGAACCCCTCTAAACGATTGCCGATACCTTGTGGGCCCTCGCTCCGCAAAAATCGCTCGGAATAATCGCACGGAGGCAATGCGTCACCTCCCTCCTCAGCTCCTTCGTTCTGAACACGTAGATGCTGACGTTGGCCATGGGGATGAAGAAGGTGGAGAAGCCGGCGGCGTAGCGCATGTTCCTCGCCTGGGCGCTCTGCAGGTCCTTGACCAAGCGCGACACGAGGACAGACAGGAAGGTCGCGACGAAGAAAACGGCGAGCATGAAGAAGTGCGTGAGGAAGGTGTTCACCGCTTTCGCCTTGAAATCGCTCCGCCGCGTCCTCGCGCACTCGACAATGACCCTCGCGTACGTGTACGCGATCAGCAACAGCGGCACCACGAAGAGCACCACGACCATCGCCGTGCTGTAGACCGCCTGGAGCTGCGTGTCGCCCTGCGACAGCCGGACGAACCCCATGTAATCACATATCACGCCTTGTATCTGCCTGTCGCCGTCTCTCAGCTTCAGCGCGTTGACGAGAATGGTAAGGGGCACAAGCACGGCCCCCACGAAGCCCCAGATGGCAGCGATGGCCATCAGCGTCCGTTTGCCGGTGACGATGGCGTGGTAGCGAAGTGGGTGGCAGATGGCCACGTAGCGGTCGACGGACATCGAGGCGAGGGCGAAACACTCGAGGCCGACGAACAGGTTGATGGAAAACATCTGCGCGATGCAGGAGGAGCGCGGGATGCGCGTGTCCCCCGTCAGGAAGATGTAGAGCTGCTGGGGCAAGCTGACCGTGCAGCCAATGATGTCGGCCGTCATGAGGTTGCACATGAAGGCGTACACGGGCTTGTGCAGCTGCGGGCGCACGACCACCGAGAGCAGCACCAGGAGGTTGGCGAGCAGTGAGGCAACGAAGACGATCAGGCACAGGGTGAATGCGAGCAGGCGGACGTTGTGGGGAGCTTCCAATGTCCCCAGGATGACATAGGAGTCGTTGCCTTCCATCGCGCGCAAGTCCTACAAATGGTATACGGTCATCTCCTAGGGCCTGCATGGGGGTGACATTTACGGGCACGCAATGCAAGGTCTTGGTTAGTATGGCAGTTGCGTCTCAATTGAACATTTATGAATTCTGTAAAATTACTGCAAATAATACATTGAAATGAGATACAACCATTTTGGTTGTTGTGTTCAACAACCACACTGCAGGTCACCTCCCTTCTCTTCTCTTTCTTACCTCGAACAGCTCCCGCTTTGTAATTCCCTCCTCCCCATAATTGTTTCTTACCCCCCCCCCCCCCAAAGTCTTTAAAATAACCTTTGCTAATTTTTTGGTCTTACGTAACAAAAACAATCTAGAATTGGTTTTACCTCGCAGTACACATTCATTCGTGCATTATCTCTTGCTGGCCGCTTGGCACGTCGGGCTTTGGGCTGCGCTCGGCAACCCTAAAGATGACGATCCGAGCAGAAAACCGCCGCTTCGCGGTGCCACTTTGAGTGGCGCGACGCTTCTGTCGTTACAGCGAGCGGTCGCACGCGAACGCAGTGGCAGTGATACGCTCTGAATAAAGCGGACTTCTCTCTCTGTCTCTCTCTGGTTGGCACTTTCCAGGAATAGCCTCTGCCTGTTGAAGCGGCATTAGATGGGGGGTTTACTTAGGTTGTTTTTGGCATAAAGGATAATTGTGAAAGCTTTCGCGAAAAAAACAATTAAGATGATTATTATTTTTATTTAACATTTTTTCTGGTTCTCAGATTCAAACGCTTTGTTGGTTTTCATTTCACAAAAAAAAACGCAAATGCTCCACTTGGCTCAAAAGTGCTCGTACACCGGAGTGAGCACCGCTAAAATTAACAAAGTACCACCGTGCCTACGTGTGTGCCATTGCACTGAGCACTGTGTGGCAATGCTGTATCGCTCGTGCATGCTGACATTGTAAGTAAATCCGTATTGTTATATTTTTAGGAGCGTTCGTACCTGCGGGTTACGGAGTTTGTCAAATGGCTCTTCACAGTGGTAGAAATAAAGGTGACCGGTCCCCGCATGTGTTGGAATCTAAACTCGGCGCCAGGTGTCTTTACAGTGACGGGAGTTGCGGCGTGCCGACGGAGGGAAGATTTATATACACCGCAGAGCACCACGTGGTCACGTCACCTGATGGGTGTGGGCAGCAATGTTTAATTACCCCTTCTTGATCTCGGCGGTTTTCATGGATGTAACGACTCCCCGTGCGGCCAAAAAGATGCGTGTGTGTGTTTTTAAATATAAACTGCAGTTTTAATTGGTTCACCGAGCGCTCGTTCCCCGGCGCGTTCCGACGTGGCCTGGGTGGACCCAGCGGAAGTTGCGGTGCTGGCAGTTTAGTCTGCAGTGGAAGGTTGCTCGCTCGGTGATTTCTGCAGGGAATTTTAAAAGAACGAACCTTCTTTAAAATATATGTAGGTAAACACGCAGACAATATGTCTCCTGCCTACGTCTGTTCCCAGCATAAAAAACACAGGTTTAATATAGTTTTTTTGGGTTATATCACGTAGATATAAATGTGTCATTAAACCCACCACCACCCGACACAGCCAATTAGTAAGGTTTGTCACGTAAACAGAACATGTAGCTCTTCTGGTGGAAAGCCTACGTGTTAAACTGACATGGCAATTCGTTACTATTACAGCACACCGGTGTGTTGGACAGCAAATCCACAACATTTACAATCTGAGTACGACGTTTCATCAGTAATTGCAACTAGCTTCATGAGGCGACAGACAGATTTGTGGAGAAATTCTCCTGTTTCGTTTGTTAAATTGAGGGATAGATGTGATGACGTCACTTGTGAGCCCCTCTTGTGCGAAGGGGGGGGTTAATGAATGACGTAATATGGTAATCAACTTACATTATGCAATCACATGATGCATGCACATTGTTCTTGTACCTCCTGTCGTTCACTTGCAATCAAATATCAGTACCTGTTACTGTCTGCGTCCACGTAATCCCCATTGATGTATGGTGACTTGTATAGGCATGCATTAAAACAAAGTATTATTTGATTATTTGCTTCCAAGCAGCACTAAACCTGTAGCTATCGAAACGGTTAAATTATTTGTATTTCTCTCAATTTCGATTGATTCTATAATTCGTCTTGGCCAGTAGTAACTATTTTGCACAGAACTTCAACATTATCAAAATCAATTGAGTGTCCTTGTTGGAACGCGTGTTCTAGCACTGCCGACAGTTGTATTTTGGAGTATTTTATATTTATTTGGTGTTCTTTTAGTCTCTTTTACTCATAATATTTAAAAAGAAACAATATTGCGGATGATATGGCTCGCGAAAGTCTACGTGTTAAACAAACACAGGTATATATTTACACATCCCATCAGCCACAGATTCACCAATACACAAAGACCCCCGCCCCAATAGCCTTAATAGACTTTTGGGACAAGTGCTATTAGCGAGCACCTAAACAACTATTTTTTATCTCAACAGGTGAGGCCCACTGAGCTATACAGCTCTTTTGCAGAAGCGACTTGGCCACGAATGATAGCTCAACGAAGTGGCTTATCATCATGTGGAAATGTAACTTGCTGACCCGCCCATACTGGACAACTGTGAAAAAGAGCTTCACAACTCATCAGATTCCTCCTGCAGTCTAAATAAAGATTCTGCTTCTCTATAGCAGCCAAATACTCTAAACCTATGAAGACACATAAGCAGAGGCATACAAACTATCACATTGATAACCATCCCCCCGATAGACTTAAAGACTCATGGGACAAGCGCTGTTAGCAAGCACCTATGAAGGCCAACACAGCACAAGAGGAGTGGGTGGCCAGCACCACTCCTTGTCGCCTTTGTCTCTCCAGAGCTACAGTTTGCACACCACACAAGGTCCTCATTTGAGGCTGAGTCGACCTGTGCTAACCGCCAATCACCGCTCCCATCATCCAACAGACAAATCAAATACACTCACTATCATCACAAATACACACACTTCTAGATTTGAAGCTTTCGTGACTGCAAGGATTCATACTTTTTGGTTTTATTTGGTAAAGTCATGTAGATAAAATAAAATAAAAATAGAACACTTAAATCACGACGTTTCGGAGGCAACACAAGCTTCCGTCTTCTGGTGGAAAAGTCAACGCAGAATATCTGTGTCAGGAGCACAGTTCAGAGACGACCTTGGATTATATACAGGTAAAGGGAGGGGGGAGGAGTCAGTAAGGGGGCGTGGGTGGGTGGGAGGGCTGGGCTAAGCAGCATTTTGATAGAATGCTGCGGGTAACACCCACTTCTCAAAGCTCATATCAAAGGGCCCCCTGATGTGGGCTCACATCAAAGGGTCCCCCAGTGCGAGCTCACATCAAAGGGCTTACATCAAAGGGCCCCTCGATGTGAGCCCACACCAAAGGGCCCCCCAGTGCGAGCTCACAACAAAGGGCTCACATCAAAGGGCCCCTCGATGTGAGCTCACATCCAAGGGCTCCCCGATGCGAGCTCTCTGTGAACGCGATCAAAGGGCACTATGATATACAACCACTGAGGAATGGCTGTACAAAAAATTTAAAGGCAGCTAACGATTGACTTGATTTAAAACATCTTTCCAGTGATTACTCAATTTGAAACCATCCTCTCTGTTGAAGTTGTGTCTATCTTTGTAAATCTGGATGGCCTCGTGGGCAAATCTCTGATAATAGCCTGTAGGTTTGCAGAGCACCTTGGTGTCAGAGAAGACAATATCATGAGCACCCACAGCATTGTAACAATGATCAGCTACGGCAGAATAATTCGTTCTGCCATGTTTAATATCTGATTTGTGCTCGCGGATTCGGTCAGAGATATGTCGTTTCGTCTCCCGTTATAACAGTCCCCGCAGGTACAACTCAATTTGTAAACACCGGGGTAATGTAGGCCAGTAATCACATCCTTTACTGACGGGATCAGATCGCGGATTTTGTGTACTGTGTTGAACTGGACCTGGATCTTGTGTTTGTTTAGAATTTTGGAAATATTTTTAGTAACGCCTGATATGTATGGTAACGTGATAATTTTGATCAGAGTGTCAAGTGGTTGTTTCTCTGTCGTGGGAGAAACAGCTTGGCGGATGGTACGGTCAGAGTAGCCGTTCATTTTGAGGGCCATATGTACATGTTTTAATTCGCTAGTCAGGTGGTGTTTGTCAGAAATGCAATGAGCCCTATGGATTCACGTTTTGATGAGATAATTCTTCTGAGTCGGGTGGTGGTGGGAATCAGTATATAATCCAAGGTCGTCTCTTAACTGTGCTCCTGACACAGATATTCTGCGTTGACTTTTCCACCTGAAGACGGAAGCTTGTGTTGCCTCCGAAACGTCGTGGTTTAATTGTTTTATTTTTATTTTATTTTATCTACGTGACTTTACCGAATAAAACCAAAAAATATGAATCCTTGCTGTCACGAAAGCTTCAAATCTAGAATTAATAACCTCTACGGGGAGGATTTCCACCTTTCTGTTAGAACTTTTAACAGACGAGATAAGAAGTCACAGCTCATCGAGACGCTGACCTTCCTCAAAAGATGCCGCGACAACAAGGAAATACCCATCCCTTTCACACTCACATCTGCTGCTGTATCTTCACCAAACTCTAAACAGATCCTGCTTAAGGCTAGCCTAGCTTTAATCTCAGAGAGGATAAGGTTACTCCGAGTTGAACTCGATAATTTAGACAGGACTCTCCTACAATCTCATTTAATGTTAACACAAAAAATGTCACCTTCTGATTAGAACCACGTTGACAACATGACTGCTGCCTCTGTCGATCCACTGTCAGTCAAATGCAGAGCTAACCTGATCTCTAAATTCAACCACCTTTCAAAGAATAACCCAGGACCACATATCACAAACTAGACGTTAACAAAATCGTTATTTATCAGAGTAGCACCCCGATTTCGAACGATCTGAAAACAGTACTGGCTAAAGGACTAATTTCACTGTCGCCCCAAAACATATACCATTAGAGGATATCATCTCTCAGGTCGATGTAGCCCTCAAACGCTTAGGACACATCCAAGCAGACGTTGCGAGAGCTGAAATAACCACTATTCTTAAGAATGCTAAGAAACCCATTAGCAACATTAGCAAAAATGAACGCTCCGAACTCGCGAGTTTAAAAAAGAGAGATGATATAGTCATCCTCTCGGCTGACAAAGGCAATGCCACTGTAATTATGGATAAAAACTCATACAACAACAAA